CCCCAGGGTTTTAGGGTAAGGTCTTGGCCGACCCAACTCTTGGCCAGGATTTGGGCCGACCAGGCCTGTCATTAGTTTTCAGGAAATTTGTGTCATCATTATTTTATGCTAATTCACACCTGTGAATTCTCATGGTAATATTGTATGAGTATACATAAGTTGCGTGTGGCACATAGGGTGCCACAAGCTACAGTGTAACATTAGGTCAAGAAGTACTCATAATAAGATTAGAGTAGTATAGAGACTAACACTACAAAATTTTTTTTTTCTCGAAATGGCGATTGAGACATCGATATTGCAATTTTTGGGCTTGAAGGATGATGACTTCCATTGATGGGTGAATTCGCACGGGCGTACGAATAAGGAGCGTCGGCATCATGACAAGAGTTCGGTCACAGTGCCGGCTGCGAAATTGATCCACGGTGGCAAGGACTACATTCTCAATGGGTTCACCACAGCGGATCAAGCCAGCTTCTACAAGGTTTTGGGGGAGCGATGGATGGATGTTGGAGTGGTGGATTCAGGTGTGTTGGCGAGACACAACAAGATGCTGTCTATCCTCTTTATTCAGCCGAGGAGTGCGATGCTGGAAACGGCAGACAGACTGGCGACTTGTTATGACAGGAGCCAGAGAAGGCTGAAGCGTTACTGCAGAACATACAAACCTATGGTGTATGGGCAGTGATGGCCTACCATCTTTTTAGACTGGCGGATCAGCAGGTGCAGGAGGAGGCCGAGCTTACGACTGAGCAGATGTTTGGTTGGGAACAGCAAGGAGGTCAGCAACCACAGATGGCAGATGCAGGGGACAGTGACCATGCTTTGGTGGAACGGCTGGCTATGGCGTTAGATGGGTTGATGAAACATTTAAGCGAAGATGGGGGTGGTGGCGGCTGGAGCCCCAATACAGGACTATAAGGTGGTTGATGAGGCTGCGCAAATTATGCAAGCCCAGTTGTTAAAAGGAGCGACGCAGACTACGCGTGAGAGTGTCCTTAACGGCCACATGTTAGAGTGCCTTTTGAGCCCCCACGCGTCGTTCTTCATGGGGCTGATGCGTACTGAACCGCTGTATGGAAAGGCGGTGATGACGAATCTACGGGTGATCCATGACTCAATGGTTGTGTTCATTCAGTGGCTTTATGCCAAGAACGTGCGCCTAGGGGTTCATTTGCGTCGAAACTACAAGTACACAGGTCTGGCGCAGGTGTTAGAGTACCTGCGTCAGGATCGTATTCATGCTGATGGGCCGGCTTCGAAAGGAGCTCCGGCGGTGCAGGAAGTGTCTCAGGGTGATCACTATACCATGGAGGGCACTTTGGCGGCTCTTAGTGATCTGCGCGCGCAGATAAAGAACCAGCGTAAGAAGAACAAGGCATCGCAGAAGAATCTGCGAAAGCGGATTGGCGATAGTAGACGTCAGAAACCTCCGCGGAAGCGTACTCGATCTGAGGCCTCGGGGGACGAGGATGGGGTTGAGGTGTCAGGTGATGAACCTGTCGAGACTTTCAAGGAGCGGATGAGCATGATCAAGTGCTTCAAGTGTCATAAACTAGGGCACATAGCTGCTAAGTGCCGTAAAGGAGGCAAGTGACTGGAAGGGTCGCTGGGTGCTGCTGTCGAAGAGAAGGCTCAGGCAGGCAGCGCTATTCAGGGTGCTGTCCAGGGTGCATATGCTGAGCTCTACGTGGATTCGGGTGCCACTCCTAGTTTGGTATCGGAGTTCTTTGCGGCTCAGCAGGGCCTGAAGATCGCGAGTTACACAGGTCTACCATACAAAGGTGTGGCAGAGATAGGCTTAGTTTGGCCGTCGGGTGTGGTGCAGTCTTCAGTCACGTTGGATACATGGGGGGGGGGGGGACTCGGTAGTTCGTCCCATGGATCTCTTAGTGGTGAAGTCCTTGTCTTTTGACACGTATGTGTTACTTGGTTTTTAAGGACTTACGGAAAGAACGCTTGTCCCTCATGGACAACGCAGGATTGGTTGGCAGTTGTTCCCCAGACCCAGCTCATAGACTTTTTGGAGTCTCAAGCGGCGGATGAGGACCAATTGGAACCGCAGAGCCCGCCGGGCAAGCGGGCGAAAGCGCGGCGCACACAAGTTCGAAGCAAGAAACGGGGACTTGATGTGCGAATGCCGCAGAAGTTAAAACTCAACTCGCAACGAAGCCATCTCGGCTTGCGTGCGTCACAGAAATAATTTTAAGGAGCAGCAACGCAATAATTACATTACGTCTGTGCAAGCGCATTTTATGGAGATCAAGTAGCGGTTAGACTATTTAGTTAATGCGGCGGAGCTGGATGATGCTGACGAGTATGTGCTACCTCGTCTTCATGACTTGCTGGCGGAGGTTGATATGCCCATTGGAGCGACAACTGTATCTCCGGCCAAAGAGGTGGACCCACAGGCACATTTGTAATTCGATCAATCCCAGTTACGTAAGCTGCACAAGGCCTGCGGGCTGCCGAAGCGAGAGTTGGACATCATGATCAAAGACATCCAGTCCGTGGCATACAATGCGGCTGCTCCCACTTTCATGGTTTTTGATGATATCCGTCATCCGACCAACTATCGTCGTACGCTCCTGAGGCAAGGTGGTTCAAGGAGATGGTACCCATGCTTTTAGCAGATCCGGTAGCGATCTACCCAAAGGAAGGTGTTTTCTTAAGGCATGGCCGTGAGATTATGCCTGCGCCTGACATTGTGACATTGGTGTGTCACATGAGTCTGTACAGATCGCACAACTTGCGTAAGTGTAATAGCCGGGCCTCCACATTAGACTCTATGTTATAAACTTACTCTTAAGCAGTACGTATACTAAAAACGTACTCTTAATAGTACTAGGAACTTAAGTTTCCTAAATGGATTTTAATGATTTTATTTATTAATACCATTTCCATTTTACATATCAGATATTTGGACGAAGCCATTAAAAGGCTCCAGTAAAATACCAAACATAAGAGTTGGTCTAGTTCTATTAATTGAACTATATTTACTTTCCAACTTTATTTATATCTGAATACTTCGGTAGCGAGATGGCTCAACCGAATATAGGTTTCTAGGGACTATTAACGTTACCAAGTTGATCCTCCGATCAGCCAACCAGATGTGCCAGTCTGATGAAGGCTAAGTCGGTAATTCTTGATAAGTGGCAAGTTATTGGTTAAGACAATAACTAAGGACATCAAGAGTATTTTATTGAATTTTTTTCTTCTAAAGATAGGATTTTATGAGTCTCTCAGATTCGCCCCAACGAAACATACCATAGTTTCTAATAGAGCGACAACGAAACACTAAATAAAATCCCTTCGGCGGAAACAGTACTGAGAGGATTATATAAAGGCAATGTCTCAGCCTCACAATCCCTCAGAGTAATGCTGTTTTCACGAGGCATACCTAACTTTACTAAAAGTCTCATTTCGTTTATTTACTTTAAAATTTCCACGATACTTAGAATTTACCTACACGTTTATTTATTCTAAAGCGTTAATATCGCCTTGATATACCGAATCTTATACATTTTAAAGTTAGCAAAGGTATTAATTACTTAGACTACTTAAACGTAAAGGTATATTAACTACCACAAAAATCTTCTTGTCCAAGCTAGTCCTTAAGAGACAAGCTAGTAGTCATAAGTTAAGATTATGACCAAGAAAGACAATACTCCTTCTAAGAAGCGTAGAGCTGAAAAGAAGAAGATGGAGAGAGAAGCCGCTAGCGCTGCCGCAGCTACTGCTGCCACAGGAGCAACCGCCGCCGCTGCCGATGCGTTTAACCGCACAGTAGCCGAAGCACTTACCTCGGACAATAATAGTCAACAGGACAATGCTTCAGATAAGGATGTAGCCAATTAAGGAGACTTCTCCCACTGACAGAGTCTGAGGGCCAACTATTGCCTCAACTTTAAAGCTTGCATTTACGAAGCCAAGAAGTGAGACAAGGGATACGTCTCAAGACGACCCAACCAATTCTTCTGACGAAGCTCAGAAAGAAAAGTTCCCAATTATAAAGGAGTCCCCAATTATAGGGGACAAGGACAAATCTCAGAAGGAACCTATAACGGAACCAGAAGAGGAGGCAAGCTCAAGTAGCAAACCCGAATCTACGTCCTAGATTACTAAGCCAGCGCTCATAAGTAAGTTAATTACTGAAAACACTGATCTTAAGAATCAGTTAGCCATCCTTATGAAAGACTTGACTGTTGAACATGTAGATCGATTGTATAGATCGGGAAAACATACACAGCACTTACAAGAGCATGTTTCTCCGGGCATTACTGAAGCCCAACAGAAGTGGACAGACCGTCGACAGGCAATTACGCCCAAAGAGCGTATGAACTCGAGCGCTACACCTGTGGTATATGAGCCAGATGTGCTCAGCGTATCTATACCTTACGAGGCACTACCACCAGAACTTCAGGCTAATTACTCGCCTGTTCTGACACCCGGCCGTGAGTCACCCGACCTTGAGGGTATTATAGACCCAGAGGCAGGTAGAAATACTCCGCCACCTTTACCCAATTGGGATGACAATCGTCGGAAACCAGTTAAGACTGGGTATGTTATCCAGACGCATGAATCACCCAAGATTATAATACCAACCACTATCCGAGGGACAGAGCACCGAAAGGCCTCGACCATGGATTTTACAAGGGGAAATAAACACCCCCGTAAACGTGTTAACGAAGTCGAATTTAATCGCTTCGATCGCACAGCAGTGCACCAGCCCGCAGAGGATTTCCACTCTGACGAGGTGACCGAACTTAACAAATCGGTCGACGATTACACCATTAAAATGGAAATCGCCCACGATGCGCATCATGCTGATGATGTCTCATATTTTGCTAATATGATTGCGATTAAACAAAAGCGCATCGATCAGCTACTTCAGGCCCAACGTGGACAAGACCACAGGGATAACTAGAAGTACAAGGGACAGATCAGTTGACTTAAGTCGAACTGGGATGCCAACAATAAGCAGGTCGAGTTTATAAACAACCATGACCTCGACACGCTAACCCGTACGCTTAATGCGTTCACGGTAATGATGCCGCTCCCCAGCAATGTATATCCGCTTCAATACAGAC